GATATCTCCGCAGTATGGACCACGGTGCTCGCCCTGATTCCCACCGATAACATCAAAAGTGTGACCCAGGGACACCTGCAGCCATGGCTTACCTTATTAGTCACTCCAATGGGCGGTAACTTCAACGAGGCTTATCTTGTGCTCCCTCCCAAAGCCCGAGTGGACCGCAAGATGAAGGGAAAGGACAAGAAGAGAGGTAGGCATGTGGGAGTTTCTGTTGGTGTTTGTGTATCTTAACGAGGGTATATGGGCGTGTGTGATGTTTTCGTTTTTTTTTTTATGTGTGTATGTGTGTGTATAATGTTTGTATATGGGCTTGTGTGTGTGTCGTTTGGATGTGTCTGTATATTAGTGTTGTTGCCAAATGCGTGTGTTTGCGTATTTGCATCACCCTTTTTGCCCGAGGCTTGTGCATTGTCGACGACACTTATCTGCTACCATCTGTCATAAACCAGCGCCGATCACGACACAAAATGGAATATAGCAGGAAGAATGACACCGTTTCGCAGTTACCTGTTTACTTTTATTGCTTGCTTTGGGCTCGGGTGGATATATGTGTGTGGGCGATTGCCGTGTGTATGAGACTCAGACGCAGTGCCTTCGCGTATATCCGTAGGCTGCACCTGCCCACTCTCCCTATCTGTGTATATGGGATACATACATTCACGTGTAGTCAGCTAGTGCACAACGGATTAAGAATTCACATCACATCGTCTGCTCTATTTATACATTCCATTGATAGCGACCGATTCTGTGGCAGCTGTGGATGTGTCGAGGGGTCCACGCATGCCGCTCGATCCGTGTGAGGCTACCCGTCTACGGCTGTGTGGATGCAGGGCCTTAGCCGAGGTGGCTCTGAAGTGGTAAGCTGTGCTATACATATCGCACAATCAAATCGATTGATGTGTATGGATGTGAGTGTGTATCTGAGTATCACTCATGTAGTCCTTGCCTGAGGCAACGTTGGACGGTTAGGCTGTTCTTCAAATTACTACCAATGAGATCTCTCGATGTGTTTGGAGGTACGTGTGTAGGTATGTATTACACTGTTTTCGCCAGATTAAAAGGCGAGTTGTGGCGTGGATAGAGCAGTACATATACATGCCTACAAATAACGTACAATCAAATACTGGGCTGTATGCGTGGGATTCAGATGTACATGGTCTGTTTCTTTCATATACAATTACATCGATTACCGAACATAAACTATACGGAAAATATGTGGATGACATGTATGAACATATACGTATCAGTGAATCTTTGGAAATTGCTTGTTGTATGCGTTTGGGTTCGTACCTTGTTACAGTATGGTCTACTTACACCTATACGCACAATATGAATACACGCACACACACATATATATATATATATATATGCTGGTACATACATTGTTACCGTATCTACACTCAATATATGCACAACAAGTGCACAATTTTTACCACACATTTATGCGCACGCACACAAATACAGATTTTCAAACAGATATGCACATGCATACGTGCACGCGCACTAATTTACAAATGCATATGCAACGATTTTATACATACAGGGGCGTTCATACACACTTACACTTACCTACAACACAAATTCTCATTCATATGCACAGGCCAGGCGACGAGTCAGCGGCGCTCATTCAAGCGTTGCAACAGATGATTGATAGCAACAGCAATGTACAACGCATAGTGGCAGCCACGATTATATCTGATTGGATGGGTCTGTGGACACACAGAGGTATATATATATATTTTATTATTGTTATTATTATTACTATTATTATTGTTGTTGTTATTTTTATTATTATTATTGTTATTATCATTAGTATATTTTATTATATATATAC